TGGGAGGAGATAGATTTTGTGTATGCACCTATGAGAAAGCCATCTTTAAAATCTAGAATTTACCTTGAGTGCTATCAGGCTTACTATCTATGTCCACTAAGAAATGTAATGTAATGGAGTGTATATTGGCAGTAGAAAATTAGAGAGAAAGTGAGCACCATATATGTAGCTATGGGATAGCCATTGTACATACTGGGTAAACATTCCTGTGTGGATGATTTTGGATATCTTAGTTAGAGTTTCTATTGCTGTGAAGAGACACTATGACTACAGCAACACTTATAAAGGAAAACATTTCATTGGGGCTGGCTTACAGTTTCAGAGGGTTTAGTTCATTGTCATCATGGCAGGAAGTATGGTGGTGTGCAGGCAGACAGACATGGTGCTGGAGAAAAAGCTGAGAGTTCTACATCCAGAAAATCAGGCAGCAGAAAGTGACTGTGACACACTTTCTCCAACAAGGCCACATCTACTCCAACAATACTGTACCTCCTTTAGTGCCATTCCCTATGGGAATTTGGGGGCCATTTTGATTCAAACCACCACAGTGTCAAAACCCTTATAAGTATATTTTCAACCATGCTCAGTAAGTAAGCTCAATAAACTCATTGGTTCCCCAGGATAGACTTTGGTGAAATTGTACTTGCATTGTCATTGGGACTTATGGGAATGAGATAGACATTGCTTCCTCCCCCTCCACGGGAGAGAAAATTTCCACAACAGAACATACTGTTCCTATGTCTCATGGTATTAGAAAAAGGAAGTAGTACACAAAAGAACATGTTAGAATAATATAAATGTGGAAATGACCTTAGTAAAGAAGGATGTAGATATATGAAGATGATGATGACTGGATGCCTCCAGAATAAAGAAGACTGGAAAGGTTTTGCAAGTTATGAAGGTCTGAGTAATTTGTTTAAGGTACATAAAGGATGAGATTTAGAGATCATATATTTATTAAAGGGCAAGGTCAGATATCAACTATTTCAAGGACTAGCTAAAATGTATGTCAAACAAAAGTTATTGAGTTATGCCTGGCTATTGAAATATTATACAGTAGTTAAAAGCACCAAACTGGTATAAAGCTGATATTCTAGGTGTTTCATAATTATTCTTGGAGGCTATTCTAATGTGGTTAGAGGAAGTAATGGGAGAATATTTCTCCCCCAAGGTCAATGAGGTCCCTGGGAACAAAAGCCATTGATCTCTTGTCCTGTTCATGGAGGCCATGGAGACCCCACTCAATGAATTTGAAACATTGTCAAGTCTACAAAAGAAGGATCAATATGGGAAATATTTCCTCAAGGCTTCAAAGGAAGCCACGGTCCCTAAAGCAAAGCCTTTGCTTATCCTCCCATTGATGGACAATTGGAAAAAGAAAGGCTAGAAGAGTCTGAGGTTCCTCTCAAGCCTAAGTGACCCCTGAGGACTAGTTGCTCAAGTGGCCTTGACAGTACAGAAAGAAAGATTAATTTTGGCCACCTGCATAGTCCTCATCACTAATCAGGAAAGTTTAACCAAAGACTAAGAGAATTGATAACAATCCAAGGGGTCACATGCCACAGACATTAATTTTCATCTACGTGAGATGTTATTTAGACAACCAATCTTGTTAATATTTTCCTCTTGATAAAAAGATTCTGTCCAGATGTGAGATGTCAGATGTTGGCTCCCTGAGTCCTGGGCCCACAGCCAAGGAAGATAGGCCCATGATGGCTAAATACCTCATCTCTCCCTATCCAGAAGCCACATGGGAATGGCTTCCTGCTGACTTTTGGCTGGTGAAACAGCAATGAAAGGATGTGAAAGCTGACTGTGGGCTCAGCACTCTGGAGATCAACTGTAGAGGTTAAAAGAAAACATCTAATTGTTGGGGGCTATTGTAAGCTCATCAAGAATGTCTTATGTAGTTTGCACATTTCAGTCCTTCCCAGACACCAACAAAGGAATTCCTTTCCTATCTACGTTTGAGAATTTGGTCATTATGAGAGGCCCTCTGGAAGGGTATCCCAATACAACTACTTCATACCCCAATTTCAGTTGGAAGAAACCACATCAGTCATTGTCCCAATCTCATAATGGCAGTTAGGGTTACCTTTTCAGAGGGAAGTGGGATAAGAACTAGAGGTAGAAATTGACTAGACAATTTAGAGTAAAAAACAAAAACAAAAACAAAAAACAAAACAAAAAACAAAGAAAAGTAACCAAATGCTTTCTTGACTAGAGGCCAGAGTGTCACTGGGACTCTTAGCAATTTCATCCTTGCCAGAGGCCAAAGATGCCAAAAGTGTTTTGGGAGCTCTGATCTCTGATGCTAAGTGATTCTAGGGACCTTAGGAAGTAAGAAAGTTAAAAGTAGTAATGAAGGCCTATTAAAAGACCCTTGGTCAAGAGAATAGAATCTCTGTCCTGGGTACAGACCTAACATTTGAATGGAGACAGATCAAAGAACCTGGTCTGGGAAACCAATAAATGGCTACTCAGGACATTTATATATCACCTATAATTGATTAATTGATTGCCCATTGTTAATACCAACTGGAGACAAAACTAGAAAATTTTAAGGTTCCTTCCTACTCCTACTTTTCTGTACTGTGACCATAGCAGCTTATAATGTGTGGACAATGAACTCCCATTCTTACACAAGCACCCCTGCATTGGCACTTGCTAATAAAAGCCTGGGCTGCATTAGGACACTCATTCCCATCTCTTTTTCCTTCTTACTGACCAGTCAAGGCCCAAACTAGAATTACTGACACATTGGGCTTGAAGGCAGGAAAGAAATAGTGGAAATGACATAATTATAATCCCAAAAAACTATTTTGAAAGTTGTAACAGGCTTTATGACCATGTCCTCCAGAGACTAGGGATTTATATTTAGAATAAGGATAGAACTCTGTTTAGGTCCTTTGATGAGTTATAACAGACTCAATGATAAAGGGAAACAATATTATTCATAGTTGGAAGACAGTGGACAATACTTGATAACTATTTTTTAATGATTTATTTATTTTCATTTTATATGCATGGGTGTTTTACATATATGTCTGTGTGTGGGTGTCAGATTCCCTGGAACTAGAGTTACAGTTGTGAACTGCCATGTGGGTGCTGGGAATTAAACCCAAGTCCTCTTGAAGAGCAGCCACTGCTCTTAACTGCTGAGCCATCTCTCCAGCCCTGATAACCATTCTTATTGTGTATAGTTTGCATTAAGATTAGAACCTTCTTATTTAGACAAAAAGGAGAAATGTATTTGCTCCACCCATGACCTTGGGCTATATGGCCCAAAGGAAGCAGTGCTTCCTTCCATTGTACATGACCTCTTATAAGGAAATCCACCTGCCTGTGAGGTGGATTCACTCCCAGTCAGATCAGAGGACAACTTCAACTGTCTATTCCATTCTGTATTCATGAGTATATTTCCTCAATTTATATCTTAATAAATTCTGTTACCCATTTAATAGACTCATGTGGATTGACTGTAATAATACTGTGTAAGCATAGGACCTGAGTTCAAATCCCCGGCACTTGTAAATAACAACAGATCATGGCAGAGCATATTTGTAAACTCTAGCTGGTGCCAGGTGATGGTGGCACTACCTTTAATCCCAGCACTTTGGAGGCAGAGGCAGGGAGATCTCTGTGAGTTCAAGTCCAGCCTGGTCTACAGAGTGAGTTCTAGGACAGCCAAGGCTACACAAAGAAACTCTGTCTCAAAAAACCAAAACCAAACTAAACCAAACCAAAACAAAACAAAAAACAAACAAACAAACAAACAACCAGATGGCAAGCAGACAAGAGGGTCTTGGGGGTTCATGGTCAGTGCAGATAGCCCATCATTGAGTTCTTTCTAGTTCAGAGAGAAATCCTGTCTTAAAATTATGCACACACACAAAGTTTTTTGAAAAGGGGTGTGGAGAAGAAGAAGAGAAAAAAGAAACTGAGGTTCAGAGAAGCAAGTACACACAACTCTGAGGGGATGTAGCTCAGGGCCACATCATATGCTAAACACACTAAGTTACATGCTCAGCAATGTTAAAAAAAAGTCTGCCTTCAAGGACCCCTCAAACATCCTGTCCTTGGTGGCAGGGCTAGCCTCAGAGGGTGTGCTGGATTCTGGGAACAGTACAATACACACACAAACACAAAAATTCACAAAAGTATATATATTTAGATAGGAATTCATCTCATAGTTTACACTGGAATAGAACTCCACATATAGTCCTGGATGACCTTCAACTTTTAAGTTAGTGCTATATTGTCTTGTGTGGAGTGTTGTTGTGGAATAGTTGTTTAACTAGGCAAAGATGTGTTACATTTGTTTATTCTGCGTTTGTTTAACTATGTGTTGCATTTGCTTTAAATAAATAAAATTAAACTGGGTTCAGAGAGGTGAAGTTAGGAACTAGCTGATGGGGAAGAGCTTAGTGTAGGTTTTTTAGTTGCTGCAGTATAGAAGAAGAGAGGCTTCCTGGGACACAAATGAAAAAAGAAAATTAGCTACCTTTTTGAGCTACCAAGTTTTCACCCTAGTCTTTGAATCTTCAGTTTTGTTAAAACGGTAGATATTTAGTTAAAGCTACCTTTTGAAACAGCAACAGAGCCATTATATGAGGGAACAGAATCCTCCCACCTCCCCACCAGGCTCTGGCCTGAGCATCTAGGCCACTAAGAGTTAACAGTGCAGCCACTGTGTTGAATGTAAAACAGCAGGTGGTGTGTGCCCCAGTGTGAGTGTGGAGGTCAGAGGACATGTGGGAGTTATTTGGTGCCTTGGTGGCAAACACCTTTATATGCTGAGTTATTTCTCTGGCCCAATATGAACACACATGCACACACACACCACACACACAAACCACTCCACAGCACACTACTTGCATGTATGTGGGCCTCATAATTGCTTGGTGGCCAAGGAAATCAGAAAAAAGAATTGGATCCCTGGAACTTGAGTGAGATGGGTTAGGGTTAGGGATCAGGGTTCAGGGTTCAGGGTTCAGGGTTCAGGTCTGGGTCGGGGTCTGGAGGGGTTAGGGTTAGGGTTAGAGGGTTAGGGTCAGGGTCAGGGTCAGAGTCAGGGTCAGGGTCAGGGTAGGGGTTAGGGGTTAGGGTTAGGGTTGGGGTGGGTTTAGGGTTGGGGTCAGGGTCAGGGTCAGGATGTAGGGTTAGGGATAGGGTTAGGGTTAGGGTTAGGGTTAGTTCAATTCACCCTAATACTTGCCATAATGTTTGATATTTATTACCTAAACCCTTGAGAATTCATGCTACACCAAACCCTGACCATGACTCTGACCCTGAAACTACACCTGACGCTAACCCTAACTCTACCTACCCTGATTATGACTATGACCCTAACTCTTTTAACCCTAACTCAGTAACCCGCTAACCCTGACCCTCTAAACCTCTAACCCTAACCCTATAACCCTACTCAAAACCTAACCTTGAACCTTAACCCTCTAATCCTAACCCTAACCCTTACCCCACTCCTGATTTTTCTAACCCTAACCCTAAACCTGTGTATTGGAGTTAGTGTTAAGGTTTAGGGTAAAGGGTTAAAGGGCTAGGGATTAGGGTCAGGGTCAGGATCTTAGGGTTAGGAATCATGGTTAGGGTCTTTAGGGTTTAAGGTTAGGATTTAGGTTTGTGGTAAGGGTTAGGGTTCTGGATTAGAGTTCGGTTTCAAGTTAAGTTTGGGTTAGGGTTCGGGTTCAGGGTAGGGGTAAGGGTTAGCGTTCTTCAGGATTAGTGTTAGGGTTAGGGTTAGTTCAATTCACCCTAATACTTGCCATCATGTTTGATTTTTATTACTAAGACCCTTGATGATTCATCCTACACCAACCTCTGACCATGACTCTGACCCTGAAACTACACCTGACGCTAACCCTAACTCTTCCAAGCCTGACTATGACTATGACCCTAACTCTTTTAATCCTAACCCTGTAACCACCTCAAGGTTAGGTTTAGGGTTAGTGTTAGTGTTAGGGTTAGGGTTAGTTCAATTCACCCTAATACTTGACATCATGTTTGATTTTTATTACTAAGACCCTTGAGGATTCATCCTACACCAACCTCTGACCATGACTCTGACCCTGAAACTTCACCTGACCCTAACCCTAACTCTTTCCACCCTGACAATGACTATGACCCTAACTCTTTTAAGCCTAACCCTGTAACCCGCTAACCCTGACTTTCTAAACCTCTAACCCTAACCCTCTAACCCTAACCCTTACCCCTATGCCTGATTTTCTAACCCTAACCCTAAACCTGTGTATTGGAGTTTTTGTTAAGGTTTAGGGTAAAGGTTTAAAGGGTTAGGGGTTAGGGTCAGGGTCAGGATCTTAGCGTTAGGAATCATGGTTTAAGTCTTTAGGGTTTAATGTCACGGTTTTGGTTTTTGGTAAGGGTTAGGTTTCTGGAGTAGAGCTCAGTTTCTTGTTAGGTTCTGGTTAGGGTTCTGGTTTGGGTTAGGTGTTAGGGTTAGCGTTCCTCAGGGTTAGGGTTAGGGTTACTTCAATTCACCCTAATACTTGCCATCATGTTTGATTTTTATTACTAAGACCCTTGAGGATTCATGCTACACCAACCCCTGAACATGACTCTGACCCTGAAACTACACCTGTAGCTAACCCTAACTCTTCCAACCCTGACTATGACTATGACCCTAACTCTTTTAACCCTAACCCTGTAACCTGCTCAAGGTTAGAATTAGGGTTAGGGTTAGGGTTAGTTCAATTCACCCTAATACTTGCCATCATGTTTGATTTTTATTACTAAGACCCTTGAGGATTAATGCTACACCAACCCCTGACCATGACTCTGACCCTGATACTACACCTGACGCTAACCCTAACTCTTCCAACCCTGACTATGACTATGACCCTAACTCTTTTAACCCTAACCCTGTAACCCGCTAACCCTGACTTTCTAACCCTCTAACCCTAACCCTATAACCCTACTCAAAACCTAACCTTGAACCCTAACCCTCTAACCCTGACGCTAACCCTTACCTCTACGCCTGATTTTTCTAACCCTAACACGAAACCTGTGTATTGGAGTTAGTGTTAAGGTTTAGGGTAAAGGGTTAAAGGGTTAGGGGTTAGGGTCAGGGTCAGGATCTTAGTGTTAGGAATCATGGATAGGGTCTTAAGGGTTTAAGGTTAGGATTTAGGTTTGTGGTAAGGGTTAGGGTTCTGGATTATAGTTCGGTTTCTGGTTAGGTTCAGGTTAGGGTTCGGGTTCGGGTTCGGGTTTGGGTTAGGCTTAGACTCAGACTCAGACTCAGACTCAGAATCCTCCTCAGGGTTAGGGTTAGGGTTAGGGTTGGGGTTACGGTTAGGGTTCAGGGTTCAGGGTTCGGGTTAGGGTTCGGGTTCGGGTTCGGGTTCGGGTTCGGGTTCGGTTTAGGGTTAGGGTTAGGGTTAGGGTTAGGGTTAGGGTTAGGGGTTAGGGTCAGGGTCAGGGTCAGGGTCAGGGTCAGGGTCAGGGTCAGGCTTCAGGGTCAGGGTCAGGGTCAGGGTCAGGGTCAGGGTCAGGGTCAGGGTCAGGGGTTAGGGGTCAGGGTCAGGGTCAGGGTCAGGGTCAGGGTCAGGGTTAGAGGGTTAGGGTCAGGGTCAGGGTCAGGGTCAGGGTCAGGGTCAGGGTCAGGGTCAGGGTTAGGGTTAGGGTTAGGGTTAGGGTTAGGGTTA